CTCCAGGCTCCTGTCAGGAGCTGTGCAGAGCCAGAAGGTCTCCCCTGAGCCTCCTTTGCTCCAGGCTCAGCACCCCCAGCTCCCTCAGCTGCTCCTCCCCACACTTGGGCTCTAGACCCTTCCCCAGCAGCTTTGTTGCCCTTCTCTGGCCACGCTCCAGCCCCTCAAGGTCCTTCTGGGAGTGAGGAGCCCAAAGATGACCCCAGGATTTGAGGGGTGGCCTCACCAGTGCTATGTCCAAGGGGATGATCCCTGCCCTGGTCCTGCTGGCCAAACTATTTCTGACACAAGCCCATTCACTGTTGGCCTTTTGGCCCAGGTCCTCACAGGACTGGCTGATGTTCAGCCAGCTGCCAACCAGCACCCCCAGGTCCTTTTCCACCAGGCAGCTTCCAGCCACTCCTCCCCACGCCTGGATCATGGCAGGGGGTGGTTGTGAGGCAGATGTGGGAAGACTTCTGAGGTTCAGTTCCCCTTGGTTCAACCCTGGATGGTGTCACCTCCTGCAAGAAGGGGCTGCTTGCTGGTCACTGCCCTCCACAGCAAGGACAAGGATAGCAGCAGCTGGCCCAGCACAGTCCTCACCCCCCAGGCCCCTTTTGGAGCCCAACTTCAAGGAGGCTCTGCACAATGGAACAGAAAATGTTAAGTGCATACAGATGATGTTTTGTGAGCTGGTGGGAAAATCCAGCTCCTTCAGACCATCTCTGGGTTGCATCTCATTTACTGCCTGTGCATGTTTTCTTTCAGGCACTTGATGTATGGGCCATGGGAATTACCCTCTACTGCTTTGTCTGTGGGAAGGTAAGCTGGCTCCCAGGCACCAGAGCCCTGCCCAGTGGCTTTTGACTCATTCCTTTCCATAGAAAGGCAAATAGCACAAACAAAGACCTTCCTTCTGCAAGCTCCTGTTTCCCCACATCACCCTGCAGGTGAGAAGGGGCTGACATGGTGCTCTGTGGAAAGGATGGTTCCTAGAGTTGCCTGCTGTGCTCTCAGGGGTTGTTTGTGCCACAAACCCCATCAGCAGCACCCTCAGCATTTTGTTTGGGGGTACCCATACTGCCTGGATTGAGAAACAGCCTTGTCAGAGTGTGGAGGGAGCCACAGGTTTGCTCCCAAGCCACTGCAGCACTTCAGCAATCCAGGTTACAGAAAGCTCTGACTGCCAGAGCTAAGCTGGGCTGGGTGGAGACCACTTCAGCAGAGCCAGACCTGTGTCTCTAATGATGTCTTTTTTGGGCCAAATCCTCAAGTGAGAGGGTATAAGCTTGAGTTTGTGTTCTGATATAACCTCATGGTGATATTATGATATCCTCATGCTGGAGGAAAGAAAGAGGGAGCATAAAGCCAAGCACAGGGATTCATTTGCCTGTTCCACATGACCCTGTAGAGTAAATATTGTACATTTTGTGCCTGGTTTATGTTTCCTCATTTAATCTGGCCAGGCAGGGCCCAGCAGCAGCCCCCAGCCCACTAAAACAAGTGTTCCTGCTCCTTCAGTGTTGATGCAGATGTTCAGAGAACATGCTGCTGTTTGTTACTCCTGCAGCCCCCCCAGTGTTCACCACACCTCAGTTCACCACTCACCTGCCCTCCCAGGTAGGAGGAGCCAGAATCTAGATCTAAAGAAATCCAGGGTAAAAAAAGTCCTGCTGGAGAAAAAGAGCTTTGTATCCAGATACCTGAATTTAAAGGGGAAAGACAAGTGTTTTAATAGTAATACTTACTCCAAACAATGCTCATCACTGAGAGAGCTCCAGGAGGTGATACCAGCCCAGCAGGTGTCAAGGTCCCTGTTTTGCAGGTAGAAGTGGAGCAGAAATAAGGAAAAGGTGTAGTTCCTGCTCACCTGGGTGGAGGTGGATATCCCAATCCAGTTGTGTGTTCCCTAGATCCCTCTGCTGCTCTTCAGCATTTACTTTTTAATAAGGAACAAATAAATTTCTATTATATTTGGAGATTTTATTTGTTTCTAGCTCTGGGTAAAATGAAGAGAGTGCAAACAGAGTATGCTTGTGGTACATGAATGACAGAGGCTTAAGTGGTGCCAGGGTCTCTGACAACTGCAAAATCTTTTGTTTGCTTTACAGTGCCCTTTTATAGATGAATATATCCTGGGTCTTCATAACAGGATCAAGAACAAGCCTGTAGAGTTCCCTGAAGAGTAAGTAAACTTTACTCAGCTATTGTAAAATGAAGTTTAGTTTTCAGTGTTACTCACTGGGCAGCATTTAATGCCAGCAGGTCACCAAGGGCAGGTTTTCTCCTGGGTCCCTCACGTGGCTTTTGTGCAGATGATGTTGAAGCTTTACAGCTGCCTCTGCTGCTCCTGTGTCCACGTTGAGCAGACAAGGACTAAAGGGGAAGGCTCTTGAAATCTTTGAAAGCAGAGGGGTTTCACTCTGGCTCTAGGGAGTTCTGCCCTAGCTCCTTGACCCTGGAGGTGCTGGCAGCATGACTTGGCTGGAGTTTTGGGTTTAATCCCATGATAGCCACTGGAATGATTCAGTGCCTCAGTTTTCAAAAGGGATGTGGTCTCTAGACCTTGGTCTCTGAAGCACAGGCCCCTTCTGTGCTCTTACCATGGAGCTGGGATCTGATGGAAGGAGGCTTGTCCCAAGGTAGACAACCACAGCGTTGTCCATCCCCACTCCTTTGCCTCCTCCAACACTCCAGGAAGATTTGGGTTTGTCTTGTGTGCTGGCACACAGGGCTACTTATAAAAAAAACCCAAGAAATTTATTTACCTACTTGATATTGAGAGGCTGCCCCCCACCCTGCTTTGGTCAGGGAAGGAGGGGGCAAGACAAAGACAATGGG